GTAGGGCCTTTGGTTCGTTCGCAGGTGCCTTTAGGGAGCAAGTCAGAGCTACGGCTGAACACTGAAACCAGCTTTGAAAGGTACGGGGGTTTAGCGTTTAGGGTTTTGGGTTTCCGGGTGCAAGGCTTTCAGGGCATTAGGGGCTTAAGAAGCCCTAAAGCCTAAAGCCTAAACAGTTTAAGGATCTCATGCTTAGGTTTGGGGTTTTAGGGTTTTGGGATTTAGAGTTTAGGGTGTCGGGTTTTGGGGTGCAGGGTTTAGGAATGTAGGGTTTACGGGTTTGGGTTTCAGGGCCTGGCGTCTCCGGGTTAAAGAACACTTTCTTGCTTGGAGGGTCCGGGGACTTAGTATGTAGGCTTATAGTATCATAAACCCAATTAGGACCCCTTTCGGGGTACTTACTGGTCTTCTTATACCTACTTACTAAATCCCCCGGCCCTGCAAGTAAGGACACACCATACAACAAAATGACCCTAAACCCTAAATCCCAAGCCCAAAAGCCTCGCAAACCCTTGAAAGGCACATAGAACACATTGAAGCCTCGGCTTTCGGGCAGGTGGGCTTTGGGGCTCGGGATTGGGTTTTGGGTTTAGGGTTTAGGGCTTAGGCTTTAAGGTCTAGGGTTTAGGCTTTAGGGTTTGGGGTTCAGGGTTTAGGCTTTAGGGTAAAGGCCCTAAAGCCTCTTGAACCCATCATAACCCCCACGCAAACAAGCCTAGTTTCCCAAGGGCTTGGAATAGGACCGACTCAGCATATGAGAGCCTTCCATAGTTGTTGAAACTCCAAAATCAGTGAAACCCTTGTTGTAACGGCTAAAAGCGACTAACCCTTGCAAAACTGGGTCGCCAAATGCGAACCTAGTTTACGATACCATGGTAAGGGGAAAGCATGTTACCTACTCTGTATCGCCATGGTAACTTTCCTGGAGTTTTGAAAAAAAGCCCTAAACAAACCCTAAACCCTAAACCCAATCTAAAGAAGGTGAAACTCGGCGCTTTGAGAAACTCTCGCACGCCTGGGCTTGGCACATGGCGTCGAAGAGGCCCACTGCAGCCTCCCACAGACCAGCCTTCTCACAGGAGCTGAGGACGGCGTTGTAGCTGATGACATCGGGGGCCAGGTTGTGAATACCTTCAGGCGACGCGGATCCCTAAACTCCCCAAGCCCGAGACCTAAATCCCAAAGTCTAAATCCGGTATACAATTTTGGGTTCAGGGTATCGGGCTTCAACGCTAAACTCGAAGACCGTTTGCCGTGAACCTTCCTGCAGTCTATGCCTGACAAACTCATAAAACGCACGAAAACGACTCCATTTCCCCTTGATCCCCCCATTGAGACATCTCCAAAAGAGGCACCCTAAACCCTAAACCCGAATCCCTAAACCTGAAAACCCCAAAGCCCTAAAGCCCTAAACCCGAAAAACCAAAGCCATAAAACCCTAAACCCTAAAACCCTAAAACCCTAAACCCTAAACCCCCAAAACCCTAAAACCCTAACACCCTACAACCCTAAACCCCCTAAGCCTTACTGTAGGCGAGATAAGAGCTGGCCTTGCATAGAGTGGAAGAGTTGGAAAGCCAAGAGCCACCTTTGGGGGTTCGAAGGCTTCAGGGGTTTTTATGGCTCAGGGCCTAGGCTGAGGGTTTAGGGTTTTAGGCAAAAGTTTTAGGGTTTAGGGCTTAGGGTTTAGGGGGCTTTGCGGGTTTGGGGGGTCTTGGAGGTTTAGCCTTTAGGGGGTTTAGGGGGTTTAGGGGGTTTAGGGGGTTTAAGGGATTTAGGGTCTAGGGTTAAGGGCTTTGGGTGATTGATTTAGGGTTCAGGGGGTCACCGTTTGGCGTCTGGGTTGCAAGCCTTCGGGTTCTGCACTGGTTGGGCTTGGGTTTCACACACGAGTGTCGGAAGCTTTGTTCAAGAGCAGTCAGTCCGCTGTTTCATACCTGGTCAAAGTGTCCGTAAAAATTGGGGCAAATAGAAAGGCAGAGCTGTAGACAATGGTCAGTTCCTTTTGTAGCGTAGGGCCTGGGGTTCAGGGTTTAGGGCTTTGTAGACTATGGTCAGTTCTTTTTGGAGCTTACGGCGTGGGACTCTGAGCTCTTTGCTGAAACCGAGGCACTGGGAGCCCTTGGTACAGGAGCTGATGGTGGTGCTGTAGCAGATGAGGTCCGGACTGAGCCCGGATCTCAAAATCGAGTTGAAGAGCTGAAGGGCTGGCAGCCACTGCCCTGCCTTCTCGCAGCAGCTGATGGCAGCACTGTAGCTGATGATTTGGGGGCTGAGGCCGCTCCGTAGGAGGCCATCGAAGAGGTGCACTGCCAGCTCCCATTGACTGCCTTTCTCGCAGGAGCTGATCGTGGCGTTGTAGCTGACGACGTTCGGCGCGAGCTTCGCCGAGGGCATGGAATCGAAGAGTTGCAACGCCAAAGGCCACTTTCCGCCCTTCTCGCAGGAGCTGATCGTGGCATTGTAGCTGATGACGTTGGGCTTGAGGTCGGCCTGTGACATGGAAGCGAACATCTGCAGAGCCATTTGCCAGGCACTGCTCTTCTCACATGCGCTGATGGCAGCACTGTAACTTATGACGTCGGGACTGTGGCTCCGGTGGGAGATGGAGGTGAAGAGCTGCAAGGCCATCTGCCACTTCCCTGCCTTCTCACAGGCGCTGATAGCAGCGTTGTGGCTGATGAGATCTGGCACCAGGCCCGCTGCAGCTATGGAACCAAACAGAGATAAAGCCAGCTGCCACTGTCTGCCCTTCTCACAGGCGCTGATAGTGGCATTGTAGCCTATCACATACGGTGGGAGCTTCGCATGGGAGATGTCGTGAAAAAGCTGCAGCGCACCCTGCCACTGTCCGGCCTGCTCACACTCAGGGTTCATGGTTGCATGCTTTACCCTCTACAAGTTAAAGCAGGAGCGAACTCCTAGCTTAAGAAGCCCCTTGCCTTCTCACAGGCACCGATGGCAGCACTGTAGCTGATCACATCAGGACACCTTTCTGACGGTGCTTGGGACGGGCCGACAACCGTTGCACACCTGACTACCAACTGTTCGGTTTAGAGTTTAGGGTTTAAGGTTTTAGAACTTAGAGAAACCTGTTAGAATATCTATAGCTTCGGCTGCAAGAGGGAACCCTAATGGAACAAGGATTCCATCCGTTCCAAATTCGCAAGCCCCGATCGCCAGGGGTCTTTTGAAGCGAAATTTGGCGACCCGCTCTTCTCTGAGCCCTCCTGTCGGTCTGCTCAAGGTACCCTTACCCTCAAATGACTCATACTTTGAGGCTTTTGGGGCCCAAAGACCCTATTATGCAAGCCTTTTGGGCTATGTTGATGCTATGGGGTAGCTTTCGGTGACAGGACAAGTAACAAGTGTTTGCAACCTCAAATCAGGCACATGAAGCCTGTGTACTACTTTCCATGAGCCAGTAAAACTAGTGAAAAGCCCTAGTTGAACCATCTTTGAACCCTGAAAACTGAACCCCAAACCGGAAAAGCTTAAACCCATGGCCCCAACCTCTAAGCCCTAAACCCTGAACCCCACACTTTCTAATCCCCGAACCCCAGACCCTAGACTCTGTTATCCCTAAACCCGAAACCCTAAACTTTCATTTCCTTCGAACCACAAGGGCTGCTCACCAAGTGACAGTCGAGCGTCCGGGATGGACGTGAACAGCGACCTCAGCTCACCCCCGATGCCCGAAGGTTTCGGGTTGAGGCTTAGGGCTTGGACTTAGCTTAGGGTTCAGGGTTTAGGGTTTTAGGGTTGAGGCTTGGGGCCTAAGTTATTGACGGCTTAGGGGTTCAAGCTGAGGGTTTAAGGCTTCCGGACTAGGGTTTAGGAGGGTTTTAGGGTTGATGCCTTGACAAGCCCTGATGTAAGAACCTATTTTTGCCTGAGGCTTGGGCTTTAGGACTGGCATTTAAGGTCTGTGGCCTGGTGGCGTAGGGTTTAGGGTCTAGAGGAATGTAAGGCTTCGTGTTTCTAGGCTTGGGGCTTAAGATAAACAAACCGTAGTTCTAAGCCCGCAATCCAATGAGATATCCATACAAGGAACCCTCAACCTAAACCCGAAGCCTAAACCCTGAACCTAATCTCGCGAGCTTCAGGCTGCTTCTTCCACCCATAGCCCTCAACTCATGGAAACTTTAGGACACACCGGAGAAACCCTAACCCAGACCCCGAACCCTCTCTCTGAGGCCTGAACCTTATACGGCTCAGGGTTTCTGGTTAGGGCTTAGGGGTTTCGGATTTAGGGTTTATATAGAGGCTTAGGGTTTAGGGTTTAGAGGCTTAGGGTTTAGGGTTTAGGCTTAGAGTTTCGGGTTCGGGGTCATGAGCCTTACGAGCTCTCTTTAGCAGTGCTCCTCATGTGGTTTCTGCAGACTCGCGTCGTTCTGCTTGTTTCGTGAACCCCACAAACGGAAGAGGCGATCCCCGTTCGAGGGGTTTAGCGAGGTCAATGCCCAGATAGGAGTCGGAGGTTTAGCCCCTAATTTGGGGATAAGGGCTAAAGGCGTGAGTACTGTAGTGGCCTTGATAATGAGAATAAGGTATATTCTACCATAATTAGAGTAAGGAACCCCCAAAATAGTATCATCGGTGATTTTGAAGGCGCCTTATGAGGCAGCAAACCCCCAAGCGGTGGCAGCACAAAACTTTCGAAGTATCGCTGCAATGCATCGATCGCAAGGGCACCAGCTTCCACCTAACCCTCCTGAGCCTTCTAGACCATCTCATGGTTTAGGGTTTAGGGTGTAGACTCCTGCAGATTTTTCGGCGATCTCTTCAAACTCAATTGCAAGAAACTACATGAATTTCATCCCAGGACCGGGATGAGTCCCAAAAGCTTTACAAGTCGGACTGGCGGATAGGTAACTACCTGCGATGAGATCACTGCAATCGCGTTTGCTTGCCTCTCAGCTCTCTTTGTCCTGAATGAGGTCGTATACGTGTTCGGAAATCTGCCGGATGGTGGGATAATCGAGCAATATTACCGATGATTACATGTCCACATCGAAGTGGCGTTGCAAGGATGCTGTAAGGTCAACGGCTGCCAGGCTGTCGACACCCAAATCCATAAACGGCTCGTCCAGGCTTTGAGCATCCTCCCCCACCTGCATCAAGAACAGCGCACGGCAGTCATGGAGCACCTCCTCGAAAGAAGGGTGGTTTTCTGCAATGGCTGTGAGGCTGACCTGCTTCTCCTTTACAAGCACGTGGATCTTGGTGTCGCATGCTACGACCATGCCGTCGCAAACAAACTTGATGCCACGATGCTTCCACTCGGGCTTGGCTTCTTTGGCTTTCTGGGAGAGATCACGCAAAGCAGCGCTACCACATGTGTTGCATTGAACCACGGTCTTTCCTGTCAAGTCTCGAATCAGCACCTGCACCTGAGTTCTCGAGGAACTTGATGCAACGTAACTTATCGCACTAAGGAAGGCAAATTAAGACCCTAAACCCTACTATTTGTGAAGCTTACGGAAATCCAGCCCCTTAAACTTAAGAACACCCTAAAACCTAAACCTTAAACCCTAAACCCTAAACCCAGCGCCGTAAACTTCACAAAGGGGCACCTCCCCCTCGCCGACCACCTCAGCTTGACCTTCGGGGTCCTCTGGCATGGCTTCTGCAAGACACAAAGGGCCCAGGCACCTAAAGAGCCGAAAATGTCGCTACGATGCAGCCTTCGAGCGATGATAATCCGGCATAGTATCCATGTATGGCGACGTAGACTAGCCCTGATAGTCCAGCAGCCCTGATGGTATCTGATAGTCCCTAAACCCTAATGTTCGACACGTGTATGGACACTC